TAGCCCATGTCTGCTGAGCCTTGTGCACAGAGACAGGTGAGGGAAAGGGCATGACTGATGCCCAGATCCAGGATGGGACACTTGGCATTCCCTGTCTCCCAAGGCTTTATCCTGGAATAAAGCATCCCAGCCGGCTGTTGCATCCCCTTTATCCTTGGAGTGGCAGAGGGACAAAGCCCCTTGGAGCAGCCACATGCTCACACATCCACAGGACAGGCTGTGCAGAGGCTGGTCCAGCTGAAAGAGAGTGATTCCTGAACAAAGAGGGATTTGCAGCTGGTTTGTGCTGCAGCATCCGGGCCAGCCCCAGCCTCCTCCCGCACGCTGCTCCGCAGCCCGGGCCGCTGATTGGAAACCCGAGCCTGCCATCACTCCGACAGCCAGGAATTATGCTGATGGATTTTTTATTATTTTTCCCCCCTCCCTGTGCTTGGATGCACTCAGCAAATATAAGCAAAAGAGAAAAAAAAAAAAAAAAAAGAGCGGGAGAAAATCCAAGCAGATTCAATTTTAGATATGGCGACAAAGCAAAATGGTTGCAGTGCAAAGAGGGAAGGCTAAGGGGGGAAAAGCTCTTGCCTCAAGGAGGAGCTGGAGCTGTAAAGCTCCCAGCAGCCCTGAGGCTGCTGTTTATGATTTACAGGGTTGTAGTGACATGGGGGACATGTCCCATGGGGACCCATGCCAAACTGGGGACACCAACAACCCCATAGAAGGCAGTGGGAGCTGCGGGAATTCAGGGCAGGACTGGTGATGAAGTTATGTGGCTTCATCAAATCCTTCCTAGTTTTAGAAAATGCCTGCTCTGATGGGAAGTGAAGAGGCTAATTTTCTGTGGGGGGTGTTAAGGATTTTCCTGGAGGCCCCAGTAAACAGCCTGTGCAAATGTGCTGCCTGGGAATGTTGTGTCAAAATCAAACCCCAGACTTGCCTTTCCATAAAAGGCTCAAGTGAAGTGTTGTGGATGTTCAGCTTGGCTTTGCAGCAAACCTACTGGTGCATACAGGCTGGGTAACAGCTCTGGTCAACCCAAATTATACTTGTTTTGCATCAGTTCTTTACCTCAGTCTGTTGCCTTCCCTGGGCTGCCCTACTCCCACCACTTGCTGCCTTCCCTCTGGTGGCTGCTGCCTCCCCCTTACTCCAGCCTTGCCAGGTGGTCCCATGTGGCATTAACCCTGCACCTGGCACTGCTGCAAACCTGGGATCACCCTGGTGGAAGCAGCAGCACTGTAGCTGCATCTGCACCCACCCGTCCCCATCCTTGTCCCAGTGAAAGCACCACAGCCATACCCACACTCACTTCTCTCCATCTTTCCTGTCTCTGTGCCATGCCCACAATCCCTGGGAGTGTTTCTGGCTCTGGGGAAGCAGAGCATTCAGAGGGCATCCAGCAGCTGAGAACGAGGACCAAAAATGAAGGAAGTAATACAGGGGAACAAAATGAAATGAAGCAATTATCCCTGCTCTGATACTTTCTAATTAAGGAAAGTGTCACCCTTATTAAGAGGCTATTAATTCATTGTCATAAGTCACCAGCAGTGCAAGTACCAAAAACGTGCCTGGGCCATGGGGAGTGGAGCAGCTTCCCCTCCTCCTCGCACCACAGGCTCCAGTGAGAGCTGCTGCTTGAGGCCACCGGGCTGCTCATGGATTCCTGCAGGAAATGCCCTGTGCCCACACCCTGGGCTGTGCTTTGTGTTCTCTGCCACGATGTTCAGCTTATCCCAAACAGAGATGAGCCCATCCACCTCCACCTGCGTCCCTGTGGCTGCACGCTCTGCCCTGTGGGCTCCAAATGGATTTGTGCAAAGCATGTGGTGAGTTCTCAGCACAGACCACCACCCCAGAGGCTGTTCTAGGGAACCAAGCCACCAAAGAGCTGCCCAAATATCTCCCACCCTGCGGTCAAGGCCAGCATTTCCTCCTGCATCACCTCCCATTAACAGCCAGCTCTGTCTTGGCAGCCTCTCATTACGTATTCTGCATGGAGGGCCCCACATCAGCTTAATTAACAAGGTAAGAAAAACGGGACCTTTGAGGAAATCTTAATTATATTATCCATCTCACCCTGAGTGGCACCTGATCCATCCCAACACTGTTTTCAAGTTCATTAGCAATAAATCAAGATTGATTAGTCCTGGATGTGCAGCAAGAACATACTGGTGCGGAAGACTTCTGCTGCCATCACAGCAAGGCTCTGTGTGTGTGTTCCCAAGCCCTGGCTTGTCTTCCAGCACCAGGCAGTGGCATGGGGACCAGGGCTATGGGATGAGGCAGAGGGAGGTGTGCCAGAGCTGGGATGTGGCTGTCAGAACATCCCAGGAGTGGCTGTTTCACTGTGCCCCTGCCACACGCTGGCACCTCACTCTTCCCTGGGCTGCTCTGACGTGGGGTAGCACCCAGGCAGCCCTTCCAGGCTGCTGCATCCTTCCAGGGATGAGGCAGCCACAGCTACCTGGGCAGCTTGTGTCAGTGCCTCACCACTCTCACAGGGAAGAATTTCTTCCTAATATCCAATATAACCCAGTATTCTGCTGGTTTAAAGCCATTTTCCCTTGTCTTGTCCTGTCATGTTCTTGTTCAAAGCCACTCAACTCCTTTAGGGACTGAAAGTGGCTCTAAGATGTCACCAGAACTTCTCTTTTCCAGGTTCACCAACCTCAGATTTCTCAGCCTGTCTTCAGTACAGCCATGCTCCAGCCCTTAGAGTGCCTTTGGGTTCATGCTCTGGACTCACTCCAGCAGCTCCATGACCTTCTGATGCTGTGATCCCCAGAACTCGAGGCAGCACTGCATTTGGGGTCCCTCCTGAGCAGAGAAGCAGTTCTGTGCTGCCATGGTGCTGGGGATGCAGCCCAGGACAGGGTTGGCTTGCTGGGCTGCCAGCACACGTTGCTCATATTGAGCTTCCCCAATGGCTCAGGGTGGTTTGTAATCCTCCCTGTGCACCTGGTGGGATGACAAGGTCCTAATGAGATGGAGCATGCAAACCACTGGGGACAGGCATTCCAATTTAAACCAGCTCCACCTCAGCAGAGCCAGTGGCAGGCACTGCCACCCCTGTGCCCAGCACACCGTGTCCTCCCACCCCACTCAGGCAGGCACTGCACAGACTGTGAATTTCGGCACCCGCTGTGAATTTCAGGGTCAGAAGGATGAGGAGCATTCCCTGCATCAGAGCCACAATCAGCGGTGCCTCAGAGCCGGAGGTGTTTACATCATCAAGCTCAGTAATTACTCAGACAAATTTGCATGCATTTTCTATGGGCATCTCTGCTGGCTTTTTTATTTTCTGCTTGAAAACCTTGCTGGAATCTGCAAACTGCCTCTGCCACTGGGAAGGGATTGCTGGATTGTTCCTTTCTAAGAAGGTGCTGAACATAACTTCTCATGCCAGTGACACATTGGCCCTCTTATTCAAAAGATTTCCTACCAAATAGAATGGCAAAAAAATTTATCAGAGACAGGAGTTGTGTGGCCATTGCCTGCTCCTATGCCCCTGTGCTGCTGCCTGTATCCTCCTGCTTGCTGCAGGGGACTGACTGATGCTTGCTGGTGTTTTCTGTTTACTTTAATTGTTGTCTGGTTTTAATATTGCATGAATTGATTCATCTGTGTTTCACTGTTGGCCCTGTTTGTTTTGGGGCAGTGCCTGGAATATCACTGGCAGATAAGTGCTGGACAAATAGAAGGTATTTTTCTTGCTCGGCAAAAGATGAGGAGTGACCAAGCTGTGCCTCAGTCAGAGAGGATCCTGAGCAGCACCTGCCTCCAGTTCCCAGGGTCCTGGTGCAATACTCACCACCCCAAATTCTCGCCCATGAGGACTGTCCTTCCTTGGATCCACCATCCAGATGCATTTTGCTGTTTGCCAGGAGCTACCAATGTCAAAACCATGTCAGGGCTGTCCTGGATGCATCCCTGCTGCCTTAGCAGAGTCCTGGGTGCCCCTTGGACAAGCCATGGGCATTAGGTGGCACCAGACACTGCCAGAGCAGTAGTTCAGAGCCAGCCTGCAAAGATGCTCTGCTCTCACCATCATCATCCTCATCAGAACAAAGACACAGAGCAGGGGACTGGGGGCAGGACAGCATCCTCCAGCCAGCACTGGGAACATTTTTTCATGTTGCTCCTCCGCCTCATCCTGTGCTGGTAGGTCTCAGAAAGATACCTGAACAGGGGCCGTGGTTGGGGCTCTGGCCGAGTGCAATTGGTGGGGTTTCTGCTTTCTCCTGTGCCTTCTTTCTTCCATGCTGTGGAGCTGGAGAGAGCCAGAGCATCCTCAGGAACACAGCAAGGGGCAGTCAGGCTTTGGGGCAGGATCTGGGGGGAACCCTGCCTTTTCCAGAGGGTCTGGGACAGCCCCCGCACTGTTCTGTGCACCCCAGCTGCCTTCCAAGCCAAATCTCCACCAGCTTACTGCCTGAGCCCAGCAGGAGCCCGGAGAAGGCATTTCTCCCTGTGCAGCTCCCAAGCTCCGGAGAGAAGCTCAGCGTCTCCCTCTAACGATGTGCAGACACCTGCAGCCGTCATCTGCTCTTTGGGCTTGTGGCCCCCTCACCTCCCCACTGCCCCCGCTGCCCCCCAGCTCCCCACCAGGACACAAACAAACCCCACCGTGGGGAAGATGGGCTTTTTCCTGGCTTCTTTTTTCTTTTCTTTAAACTCCATCAATTCTCCCAGCTCTGTTGCTCGTGAATCTCCGGTGAGGTGAGAAGAGCAAATTTTGCTGCATATTTGAAAAGGTCAATGTAGAAACAGGAGGAAATTCTAATTTCTGTGTTCTGGAGTACCAGGGTCTACAGACAGCAAAGCCCTGAAGCTGCTTTCCTGCAGACAGAGCTGAGGGTCATAGACCCCTGACCCACAGGTAGAGAGGGAAGATGTTCAGCCTCGCATGAAGGGATTTAGGGCTGTAGACATCTCCTGAGCATCCCCAGGAAGGACTGGAGGGACCAAACTCACAGATTCAGGTGTGGGAAGAGTCAGAAGAGCAGTGGGTTAAAATAACAGTCTCTAATTTATTACCAGCAGAGAAGCAGGCAGGAGGATGCCTGGCCAGGGGGCACTGTGACCTGCCTCCACATCCCAATGCCCCAGGGTTTTGGGGTGCTGCTGTTTTTGGACCCCCATGACCCATAGCCCTACCCCCATCACTTGAGGTGGAATGTGGGGAAGTGACAGCATCCATCCTGGCCAAAAATCCTGATTAACATATGGATTTTCCTTATCTGCCCACAAGGGCAGGCTGTAGCTCTGTATGGGAGAATTTGGGAGATGGGGGCCTAACAGCAAACACTTTCACTGTAATGATGATGAAGGTCATCAGGATGGTGCCTGGCTTTGGTGGCACCATTTCCAGCTCTTGGGCAGGTGGTCAGGACAGGAACCTGCCAATGCCTGGGTGAGCAGAGCTCTGCAGAGCTGGTGGGAGCATGGAGCAGACAGAACCAGGCATGGGGGCCCAGGAGGACCTGGCACCCAGTGTTCCCCCAGCCCCACCCTGGGCAGCACCCACAACCACCCGGCAGCACCCCTGCCTGCTCCCCCCAGCCCCTGCACAGGCTCCCCTGTCTGCCTGTGGATGAAGGATGAGCTCTTGGCACAGGTTCCTCCAGGCCATGGAACCCTCTCAGTGCATCCAACCTGCTTTTACTTGCAGATTTTCCAGCTCTGATGACTCAGCTCCCTTTTTAACTCACACGTGCAGCTGGGTGCTGGGGTCTTGGCCCCACTTTGAATTTTTTGGCTGGTTGTATCATCTTATTTGCTACTGATAATGTCACCTCCCCGGATGCTGGAAGGCAGCCCAGTCTGATGAGGAAACCAAAGCTCCCTAAATAAGCTCCGAGGCATGGACACGAGTTGCTAGGTGCTGGGATGTTGCCCAAGTGCAAAATGCTTCAGTGTCCTGCACATGGCTCTGAGCTGTCCCTGGAATCATTGTGTTCCCTTTCTTCACAGTGCTGAGCCCTGCCTTTTGCCATCTCCTTTTTTCCATCTCTTTCCCTGTGAACTTTGAGGCTCGGGTGGATGGAAGTTCATCATCTGTCCCAGCAGCTGGTTTGCTGATTTTCCTCCAGCCAAGAGCCGTGTCTGCTGGACGAAACCTTCCATCCCTGCACAGGAATGTATTCCTTTAAAAGAAAGAGAAGGAAGAAGCAGGAGAGGAGCCCTGGAGTGTCTGGGAAGCTGTCTCTTCTTATTCCAAGTGTGTGGCTCAGGTCTCGTATCGGAGATGCACAGCCCGTCCCAGCGGAGCTCGGTTCACAGTGTTGGTGCAATCTGCCAAACAGACGGATCAGCTAGGAGACATTTCCAAAAGAAGCTGGAACAAGGTGGGAGAGGAAGGAATAAACAGCCTGCAGGGTGGCACATCGCAGCTCACCCACTACCAGCCCCGGAGAATCTCTTCCCTTCCGTACAAAAGTCCACTGACAGATTTTGGGCTGTGTGTGGCAGCCTGTCCCTGTGCATCACAAGTCACCCCTGTGCTCCTGAACGGCCCCACAACCCATCCCTGTGTGCCACAGCCCGGCCTGGGCTGCCCCCTGGCCCTACCTTGGCTGAGCAGCTGCAGGTTCCGGACCTCCTCGCGCACCTGCAGCTGCAGCACCTGCTGCAGCACCTCCTGCCGCTGCGTCTCCAGCGCGATCCCCATGCGCTGCAGCTTCTCCCCGTTCAGCCGCAGCAGCGCCCGGCCTGCAAACACGGAACGGCTCGGTGCCCCACCAGCCCCGTGAGCGGGGCGTGACTCCAGGAAAGGGCAACACAAAGGGGAACCCTTCAGCATGGAGGAAGGAGGGAGTGCTCCCTCACTGCTTGGAGTAGTGCGTGGAGGGACAGGATGAGGGGGAATGACTGGCAGAGGACAGGGTTAAACTGGATGTTGGGAAGAAATTCATCCCTGTGAGGATGCTGAGGCCCTGGCACAGGTTACCCAGAGAAGCTGTGGCTGCCCCATCCCTGGAAGTGTCCAAGACCAGGCTGGACAAGGCTTAGAGAAACCTGGTCTAGCAGAAGGTGTCCCTGCCTGTGGCAAGGAGGTGGAACAAGATGAGCTTTCAGGTCCCTTCCTACCCAAACCGTGCTGGTTCCCGGCCTCCCTTTCAGAGAGCGCTGGTGGCAGCTCATGTCCCCAGCCTCTGCCAGGTATCAGCAGCACAGTCCTGTAACCCATCCCCGCAGGCAGCAGCTTTCCATCCTCCGCTCCACCTCCCACGTGAGGAGATGTTTTCTGAGCAGAGTCCCCACGCAGGCTGCTCGTCCTGGGGCAATGAATGGGGGTGCCCATCACAACGCATTAGTGCTCTGGTCCCCGCCGAGCCACTTCTCTCCAGTCTGGGGCTATTACAGGAGGGATTTTAAACCAGCTTTTGTCCTTGCTTCCGAGCATACATTCACTAATGCTGCCTTTGTTGCCTGAGCAAGGGCTGGCTGAGCTTTTGCATTAGGATTTTGCATCCCCCCCCAGGCAGCTCCTGCCCTCACTTCCCTGCCACTGTCTCCTGGTCCTGGCAGAGCTCAGTCTGGCCTTGCACATGTTGAAGTTGGAATGGAATGATGCTCTTACACAGAGGTCAAAGCCACTGTCCAGGGAGCAAAGGGGAGGGAGCAGATCCTAGAGGTGAGTCTGAAGGACTTGATTGGGAGTTGGATTTGGACCTGAGCAAAGACCTTTGAAACTTGGACTCCAAGTGGGCAGAGATTTTTCTCTTCTGCAAAAATTTTCAGTATTTGAAAAACTTTAATAATATTATTATTATTATATTAAGCTAGGCGATGAGAAGACTCTTCTGTCTTATAAACCAATTTAATAATTTTAAAGAACCTCCAGCCTGTCTTGGAGCTCACCCTGGTGTCACATGCCTCCTGCCCAGCCTGGGTCAGTGTCGCTGTGTCCCCTGCTCTCACCCTGACTGCATTTCATGGGGAGAGGGGACAGAAGTGGGGGGTATGTCCATCTTCTGAACCACCAATTTCCAAACAGCCTTTCCCAGGAGCAGGTGCTAATGGCAAATAGTCCAGAGGACACTCTGTACCTGTGATGGCGTGGTGGGAGAACGCCTCGACGTAGATGAGATAGTTGTGTGGGCAGTGCTTCTTCAGCCATTTGCACACATCCTGCTGGGTCCACAGCACCACTGGCTTGACCAGGCTGCCCAGCGTGGGGCTGGTGTGGTAGATGCCATAGTGGTCACAGCCACGGACCTGAGGGGAGTGGGAGGGGAGAGTGTTAGTGGGATTCAACCCTGGGAGGAGGGAAATAGAAATCAGTCCATGGGGATGGGGGAGGTGCTGGCTGGCTGCATAGGATTGTGGTGACACTGGCAAGCATTGGCTTCACACCCTCTGGAGTGTCTGGGCTCACCCTGAAATCAGAGGAACCACTGAGGGAGGCAGGGAGAGTGGGTATGGGAGGTCAGGTTCGTTGTCCTGCCATATATAGACCAAACACTTTAAACTTCCCAGCCCTCCTGCAGCAGACAAGAGACCCAACTCCCCTCCCCTATGCATCTCCCAGCCCAGCAGAGCTTTGCACAGGCTCAGGAGATGTCCTGGGGTCCTCAGGGTCCCCACCTCACCAGGCAGAGATGGGCATTTTCTGGAAGTTCTCAGTGGGGATGAAGCCAGTGAGATTCTGGAGGAAAGTAGGAACTGGTGCAAAGCCATCCCCACCAGATGTTGGTACTGGTGCAAACTGATCCCCACCAGCAGTCCCCAGGAAAGCAGCCAGCAGGCAGCTGGTGCCCTGGAGTAGGAAGGACTCTCCCTTTCTCTCCCTCTCAACCCCTTCAACCCCAAGCTGACTGGTCACAACAAGGTCCCGCAGCCTTGCAGGTGTCCAAGGCCACCTCTGAATCTTATAGCTGTTCCTGGGGTGCTGGTATGCTCAGAGACACCCAGGATAAAGCAGGGTCACAGTCCCCAACACTCCAGTGTGCCCTGGCCACCTCCATTACCTGCTGAGCTATGCCATGCACACTACTGAGATATGGTCACAGGGAGAGGGGGCTTATCTGACAGCATCCCACCACCCCACCTTCCCTCCCTCCAGCTGTCTGCTGCAGTGGCCAGTCTCACTGTGAGCCACCCAGTCTCACCCTGAGCTGCTTGGCAGCTCCATTTTCTCTCTCCCATCACAGCAACTCTGGCCTTGCAAGGCTGTTGCAGCCTGGACTTGTACAGAGCAAACCACACATCATAAGCTGTGACTGCACAGAGAGCAAGCCTGCTTCTCCCAGGGGAACTTCCAGGTTGGCTGTAAAATGGGCTGGAGGATGCAGGAATTTCCCCATCCCTGCTTTTAGCACCCAGGAGAGATTGGTGCAGGATGTGGGGGGAACTCTGCCTTTTGCAGAGGGTCTGGCACAGCCCCAGCAATGAGTTCTGCACTGCTGGTGATGCTGAGACTTCATCCTTGAGGAGCACCAGCAAACATCGCTGCTCCAAAGCATCCACCTGTGCCCAAGCTGCTGGGACTGTCCTGGGCTGGATCACAGCAAATTTGGGTTGAAAAGGCATCCCTGCTTCCCACAACAGAGCGGGACTGGGCTGCCAGGGCTCACTGATGCCTGGACAGGGCGGGGACAGAGCAGGAATAGCGGCTGAGGCACGACACACGGGCATGGGAAAGGTCGGCATCGTGTGGCCTGCAGTGTGCCAACATCGACCTCTGCGTGTGAACGCTGCCTAATTAAGCATGTCTAATAGAGGAGCAGGGATAATTGTGTAAGAGGGACTCCAGACATCCAGCAGTCACTAAAACTAATGATACATTCCTGAGGGATGCTGCACAGGAGGCAGTGGGGGGGAAGCTGGGCTGGGATGTGCTCCCTGCCCCGTGCCAGGCATTGCCGTGGAGCCTGGCCAGCCTGGTGGGGCTGCTGCCTGTGCCCAGGGGAGCGTTTGAGCTTGGAAAGGAACTGTTCCTCAAGCAGAGCTCGTTGGGAACATTCGAGCAAGAGGGAAGAAGACAAAGTTGGGAGGCTGTACGTCAATGAGCAAGGAGTCCGTCTCCAAAGCAGACGGAAAATTCAATAGATAATGCACAGGATGCAGTTACTGAACCAAACCCTCACCTTTGGGAGAGACCTCGGCTCCAGCAGATGCATCCCGGGAGTCGCCTGCCTGCGGGAGCAGCCCCAGCCCACGCCGGCTGCACGGCTCCTTCACACTTGGCTGAGCGCGCCGGGGAGCGTGCCGTGGGGAGGAGAGGAGGAGGAGGAGGAGGAGGAGGCGGCGATTTGCTCTGGATTCACTAACGAGTGATGATGAGAAGCGGAGGGGCTGGGGGGAATAACAACCAGCTTCCCGGGAGCTTACCGCGTGCTTCCCGCAGCTATTATCCAACTAACCCTCCGAGGCACGGGGGAAGAGGTGACAAACAATTGGCAATTTCCCTGGGCACGCACACGGCTGCACGCACATCGCTCATCAGACACGGCCCCGCACCGGGGACCACCCCAGCATCCCTAAACCCCGCGCTGCCTGCTCGGCGTGCATTCCCTGCTCCCCATGGAGGGTCCCCAAGTGAGCCCCTGCGCTCCCCAGAGGGGCAGGGGAGGTGTAAGGGATCGTGGGTTTGTTTTCCAGCCGGCTGAGCCGCGCTGTCTCTCTGATAAACTCTCAGCCGTGAATATCGAGCGCCGGTGCGGAGGAGAGCAGGCAGGAAGGCTCGGAGGCTGCTCTGGCAGGAAGGCAGGAGGTGACTGGGGGAATTGGGGGGGGTGGGAGCCATCCCTGGATGCTGCAAGGAGCAACTTGAATCACCTCTCTTCGCTCTGGCATTTTTCTTTGCTTATGGCAAATTAAGAACTTTTCACTAAATCCTTCTGGGCAACACATAGGGGTGGAGGAGGGAGAACCATGATAAGCCACAGCTGGCAGCTGGAGAGTGGCTGGTGTGTCCTCATGAAGGAGCCACCTGGAGGTTATGGGACAGTGTCACCAGCACATGGAACATTGTCTGCCCTGGAGCTGCTGCTCCTGAGAGCATCACGACCATACCCATCCCTGTGGGGTCCCTGCTCCCTTCTGAAGCCAAACTAGACAGGAGGCCCTGTGATACAAAAGCGTCTCCATGCTGGCAGCTGGAAGCCAGGCAGTTGGATTTTCCCTGTTTTCTTTCCAGCATTCACTGTCTGGATGTGCTACTCTGAACCTGACTCCCAGGGTGTTAAGAAGGGTCTGGGAAGCTCCAGGAGCCACCTACAGTGATGATGTTCTTTCCTGTGTCTGTGCAGCACTGAATGGATGGAAACCTTTGGCTCACAGCCTCCGCAGTACAATAAAGTTTCAAATTGTAGGAAGACAATGGTCCAAACCTGGCTAAGAGACACACACAAGTGCTCAGTGATTTTAAGGCGTTATAAGGAATTTGGTCCTGGCATACTTAATGCAAAGTGGTATTAAGTCCCCGCTGCAGGTGATGCACAGAGGGGAGGTGACACAGAGAGCTCACCCCAGTACAGCACGAGGCCTGACAAAAACACACGATGATGTTTATACATGCTACTACCACCAACTGCCCAGCAATCATGAGGACTTTCAGCCAAACAACACCTGATCCTGCGGGGAAAGAGGAGCTGCTCCTGCGGGGGTCTGGCAGACACAGGGAGCTGTGCTGCCCCTGGCATGCCCGGGTGGGGTGTGGGTACCTGGGAGCCCTCGGTGCCCGGCTGCCGCAGGAGTTTGACGGTGCGGCCGCCGTCGGGGCGCTGGCTGCGGCCGTCGTGCCAGGTGAGGCTGCTGCCCGGGTTGCGCTGCAGGCGGTAGCTGAGGTTTTCGGCCGACACCGTGTGCTCCAGGAGGCTGCGGCAGAAGCTGAAGTGAGCAGAGGCGGCAGCGGCGGCTGCAGAGGGAAGGGGGGTGAGAGATGGCCGTGGTGCCCATCCACCCCATGCCAGGGCACCTAAAAGTGCCTTTTCTAACCCACGGTACCTGTCGAACTCAGGCTGTGGGTGCCTCTCTCCAAAAACTCCCCGTTCCTGCCTTCCTTTCCCATTGCCAAGGAGAAAATCCACCAGCCCAGGAACCGCCAGCTGGCGCTGGGATCCAGCAGGCACCCGACAAGATGTTTGCCCACACAAACCCCTCAGGAGCGATGTTTGTTTTGACACCCGCCAGCCGAGCAGACACGGGACCTACAGCTGATCCCTGACACCTGGTGAGAACCTCCTGCTTGTCACTGCTGGGAGAGGAACCCGGAGGAGGACAAGGGAAGCTGCTTCCCATGGTCCAGGCTGACAGCAAACAGCCACCACCGAGGGAAGGGGAGCGGAGAAACCCTCCCTGGGCAGCCTGGTGAAGAAGGGAGTGCAGGCTGGTCCCCCAGCACAGACCATGGGTGCCTGGGGACAGCCACTGTGCACTCCAGTGATGGCCAAACACACACCAGCCCTTCAATAATGACCATGAAGAGACATTTACCCACAACGAGTGTTTTTTGTCCCTTATTCATATAATCATAGGGTTGGAAGGGACCCATAAAGGTCATTGAAGTCCAATTCCTTGTGTTTTAACAAGCTGGGGGTGTTGGGGCTGCAAGGAGGTTGAAAAGCTTCCCTTTGAGGGGGGCTGAAGGGACCCAGCTGTCACAGGAGGAGGGTGAGTGGGTATTAGGGGCTCACGCTCTGTCTGCTCTGGATAAAAGCCAGACAGCTTGACATAAGCAGCTCTGATCCACAGAAGCAAAGACTGGAGCATCCCCCAGCTCACCTGCTCCCACCATGGGGAGCCAGGCAAGTCATGAACCACCTCCAAGAGCAGAGCAGCACCCAAAGGAAACCCACTTCTAGGACAAACCACCCTGAGAGAGCAGGAGGGCTGGAGAAATCCTGATGCAACTCATTTTCATAATTAGCAGGTTTTAAGAGGGAAGAGATTGTGAAGAGACCACTCAAGTACGCCTTTCTGCAATAGGAGAACAACTGGCCAAAAAAAGTCAAAATAGAGCAAAAAAGGGTTGTCCCACTATACCCAGACAACATCACACTGTGTTGTTTCTTAAGCACACCCAGCAGGAAACTTTACCATGGGGAAACTGAGGCAGGGAACCTTTCTGATGGCTGGGGAAGTGATTTTAGAGAAAACAAGGTGGAGGGAGATCCATGGAGTGGCTCAGTCAGGAGCAGAGGCAGGGAGGGTGGTCCTGGGGAGCACCCACCAGGAGTGGTAGGGGTGGTCTCTGCACCTGTCCCGAGAGATGGGGATGTCTCTGATGACTTCCAGCAGTCTCAGACACCCTGAGCCTGTCAGGTGAGGACCAGAGCGGGCTGTGTTCCCTCCAGCCAAAGATGTCTGAGATGCCACTGTCCTGTCCCTGGCACCCTGAGCACTGCAGCTGTGCTGGGATATCTCCAAGCTGGAACCTGCCCATCCCTCTGGGTGCTGCAGCAGATATAAACCTGGCAGGTCTGGAGAGGCTGCTGCCAGAGTTGTGTCCTTCAGCTGTGCCAGGGCTCCCCCAGGATTTGCTACAGGGAGTAGAGGGAAGGGGGCTCTGGCCATCAGCAGGACCCATATCCATAGGGAGCTATGGATCATGTGCCTCCAGCAGCAGGACATGGGCATCTCTGCTCCGGCAGCAAACTCTGCAGGAGGCAACACCAGGAGTGGCAGCAGAGGGGAAAGAGGGGTGAAAGCCAAAAGGAAAAACGAGCTGGGAAGAAAGGCAGCTCTGGGAGCTTCGGGGGCATGGCTGTTCATTGGAGCCCTGGGTGGGTGCCCTGCAGCCCAGAGGCCCTGGCTCCAGCAGCTCCTCCACAGTCTCAGTTTCCCCAGCCCAGCCCTTGTGTGCCAACTTTCCAATCACCTGCAGCACTCGACATGGGACGGTAGGGAGGGAGAGCAGGGCATGTGGGAGCGTTTTGGAGCAAGGAAAGGATGGGGACAGGGGAGCCCCGTGTCAGGACAGCCCTGGGCTGGCTCCACGCAGGGACATGGGGGTGACATCCTGCACGGGCTCTCCTTTCCGTGCCCTGCAAGGGGAGTAGCCACAGCATCCCCAGGAGCAGCCAGGCACACTCCATCCCCTCCGCCCGTCTCCGGCAAGCCAGGGGCTGTGCCCTCCGGCCAGGAACGCACATGCACCATCTCCCCCCAGGCCCGCTGGCCCTGCAGCCCCCCAGCCATGCCCTGAAGACCCCTCACCTGGCTCGGATGGTCCCTGCGAGCTGCGGATGGTGGAGACGCAGCAGAGGGATGGCCGGCCCTGCTGCATGTCGGCGGGAGGAGGGATGCGCGTGAGCGCTCGGCACCGCTGTCACGAGTGCGGCTCCATCCCTGCCTCCCCTCATACCTCGTCCACACCTGACTGATTCCCCCGAGCGCCTCCCTCCCACTGCCTCTGAGCACCGGCGGCACGCTCATCGCAGCTCCGGGCGGCCCCGAGCCGCTCTCACATGGAAGCGGGGTGAATGACACCCCCTCCCCGCTGCCCCGTGGGCGTTTGATCCGGAGGGATGCTCGGCGCTTTCCTCTCGTGCTCCCTCCTAATCCCGCGGCAGGGCCAGCTGGCACTGGGATGGGCAGGAAGCCTGGGGGCTGCTGCAGGGGACACTGAACCCACCGGGCACCAGTGGCACAAGCGGAGCCGTGGCCACCAGTGTGGCAGCACCGGGGTCACCGGTGGCTGAGGGCAGTAGGGTGCAGGAGGAAAAGCGAAGGAGGAGCGTGGAGATGAACAACCTTAACAGGAAGGGGCCGCAGGGCGCGGTGTGGGCTGCACCGGCTCTGCCACAGCTCTCATGGCTATGGTCGTGTTGGGGTTCTGGCTAAAGTGGGGGTCCCACAGAGCAGAGGCTGTGCTGGATCCTGAAACGGGAATGGGAATGCAGGAACCTCCAGGCTGGCTGAGCCCGAGCTGGAGTGGGGAGGGGAGAGCTCAGCTCCGGTCCAAACAGCCACTGTGACCCCACATTCTGAGTCCCTGCCAGCTGGTCTAGGGTCCCTGTGCCCCATCTGCCTGCCCCCATGAGTGACACCCCACTGCCTGCTTGCTGCCGGCTTGTTTCCATGGCTCTCTGATCCATTTTGGGCATCTCTCCAGCCACGCAGGAGGGGGAGGCCAGGTCCGTGTCACCGCAGGGACACCAGAAGCGGTGGGACAGGGACAGTCACGGCTCCCTCCCTTCAGCAGGCACAACGCTGCTCCCGATCCCATTCCCTCTCCAGACACTTTTATGGCTGGTGAAACGTGAGCGCTGGAGAGGCTCAGAGCAGCAGCAGCTGCTGGTGGGGAGAGGAACGGGAAATCTCCCGGGGCTGGGCACCTCGGGGCAGGATGTGGCAGCATTCCCCGGCAAAGCATTTCCATGTGGGTGCCGAATTGCCCCGGGCTGATCACTACCACCAAACCGGCTGCCAGGGGACTTCCCGCGGGTGCTTCTTGCTCACAGGTGACCAGGACCTGCCCAGGGGACACGGTGGCAGACAGCCGAGCTGCAGCAGGAGCAGGCAGGGGCACAGGGCAGCCAAATGCCTGGACTGGCAAAGACTGCCAGATTCCTCTGCCACTCACAAGACTGCTCGCTCCTCTGCCACCACTTCTCATCATGGCCTTAGGAACATCCCTGTGTCTTTGATGCCATCGTGTGTGTGGCTGTCCCACAGAACTGCCCTCCAGATGGGGCCGTGTCTGCAGGCAGCTGCAGTGGGGGCAGCCAGGCTTCCCGGGGTCAGACAGGCTTCCAGGGATTAATGGGAGAAGCTTCAAACAAGATTCACAAGGAATGAAATCACTTTGTTGGTTTGCCTGGCTGCCTGTGTGTGATGACCCCTAAGGGTGGGTCATCACACCGCATTTGGGAAGGAAAGAGACATTTAGCACCAAATACAACGAGGGATTTGGTTATAATTGGAGGTGGATTTGGGGAGCTGGTCGTCTCTCTTGTGTTCCTGCAGGCAGGTGAAAGGTGGATGGGAGCAGAAGTCTCTGAGGACTCCTAGGACTCTCTTAGGACCTAGGGAATTTGCTCAATTCAGGGAGCAGCTTTGTGAAGGACTCATCCTGCTTTTAGTGGCATCTGCATGAGCCATGAGCTCAGCTGGCACTGCCATTGGCCTGGTCCCCTCTGTCCCTTCCATGTGGCTTCACCCTGGTGCAGAGCAGATCTGTTGCTTGAGCTGGTGGAGACTCCAGGGATGATCATTCCAGTGATGCTCTCTGGGATCCCCCAACACATCCCATCTTTGAAGCTGTGCCTATAGGATGGACCAGGTCCTGCTCTGAGCTATTCCCTAAGATCTGAGGAAGATTAAACCAGACTCAGAGAGGACTGACACCCTCTCCAGCCTCTCCTGATTCCCCTGGAGTGTACTTGGCTCAGGCCCTGGGTGTGGCGAGTGTACCCCAGCACTTCCCTCTGAATTTTCCACTTACAGAGATGAGATGGGAGCCCCGGCCGGAGCTCAGGCTGGTGGCTGCCCACTGCTGGTGCCTCCCGAGGATGGAGGAGGAAGGGAACAAAAGGCAGATGTCCTTTCTGTCCTCCCTGTGCAGCATGTTGGGTGCCCTGGGCACATGCTGGGGAAGTGTTTGGGGGGAACATGCATGCCTTTGGGATATCTGTGCTCATGAGACTCCCATGGGTACTACCAGCAGGTCCCTGAACACCCCGTGACAGAGGACTTCTGTAGGGATGGACAGTGTGAGAGTGCAGGGTGAGGGCAGCAGGCAGGACTCCAGGTGGCTCTGGGCAGGTTCTCCTGGCAGGAGGCAGGTGAGGGAGCCCACGGACACCCCTGCCTGCAGTGAGCCCCCTTCCACCTTGACATGCTCTTCCCAGGGGTCCTGCTCTGCTCCAGCACCCCCAGGCCTGCCTGCCCTGTCCTCACACCTGCATCTCTTTGCTCTAGCCAAATTTTCCAGCCCATTTCATTGGTACACAACAATTCCAAGGGTAGGACATGGGGACAGACTCTCCCCAGAATGGGGGAGTAAAGGGGAATGTGGAGGGACTGACTCGCGGGATGGAGAGGACAGCACTGGGGATGGAGGGCAGGCAGACCCCCGGCATGGAGGGGGCAGCACCAGGGGATGGAGGACGGACAGACCCCCAGGATGGAGGGGACAGCATCGAGGAGAGATGGAGGGCGGCCCCTGGGATGGAGCGGATCCCCAGGTCCGTGCCCGCCGCGTTCGCGGCTGAGGGAAGCGCGTCCCGCCGCGCACCTGAGCCCCCCCGCCCGCGCCCGGTACCTTCCATGTCCTTGGGCCGGCCGCAGCTCATCCTCCGGCAGCGGCGGCGCGCTCGGGCGGGCACGGAGCCCCGCGCCCCCCGCGCCGCCGGCGGCACCGGGCGCTCCCGCCCGCCCCGCCCCGGTGTCCGTGCCGGGGGCGGCGCCGCCATCCGCCACCCCCGGGGGCTCCGCCCGCCGCCGGCCCCGCGCTGCCGCCCGCCTCGAGGATCCCCGAGCATCGCCCGATCCCTGCCGGGGCTGCGGGCATCACCCCCCGATCCCCGCCCGGGGCATCATCCCCGCTCTCTGTCTCCAGCCGAGGGAACAGGTTCCTGGGGACCTGTGAGCACCATGGATAGGTTTTTGGTCGTGTTTGTAGTGGGCACAAAGCGGAAAACACCTGGTTGTTCTCTCCACCCCAAATGTCTCTGTCGCCCCGACCTCCAGCTCCCTGAATGGGAGAGGCAGAGGAGGGTGCTCACCCCCGTGGGTGCTGCATGAGCTCTGGTGGGTGGTCTCAGCATGAGTGGGTACCCACCAAACCTCACTGGTGCTCGGCACGCCAGCATGGAGCTAACGCTGCCACCAGCCGTCACTGCCCCAGGTGACAATCCCACAGGTATGTTTTTAATTGCCCGCATTCAGCTGTCACAGCTGACCCAGACAGGGACTGTCATTGCCAGCCCCTGCAGCCACCACGGGAGTGGGGTCTGGCACCTTGTGTTCATCCTGCCCAGGCTGGGAGAGGGCTGGGGGCACCTCTGGCTGCCCAGGACAAGGACACGCAGGTGCCTGTGCTGTGATACTCCACCTTTGCAAGGGTTCTCTGTCACAGACCCATTGCAGCACAAAGCAGCATCCTCACCCCTGTTTTAAGAGGAAGAACACTCAGCTTAAGCACATCGTGTGACGATCAGTGCCCTGTGGCCTGGGAAGGTGCAGCAGGTGGCAGTGACCTTGCACAGCCTTGGGTAGGGTTTGTGTGCCTGTTCATCAGCCTTGCATATCTCCAGCATAAAACCCTCTTGGATCCGGGCTGTGCAGCTGTGTGTGTAAGAATGAAGCACTTGCCAAAACTAAATTCAGCTCCCCAGATCAATAGGAGCTTTCCAAAATTTTTGATGTTCAATCAGGAGCTGTTCTGGATGAGGCTCAAGCCCTTGACAAGGCTGATGCTGGCTCAGCTCTGTGCTGGGAGCTGGCCAGGGCTGACACATTCAGCGAGCCGACCATGCTGCCAGGCAGGGAGCAGGGACATCGAGTCACAAACCATGCATGTAGTGGGGACATCAGGCCCCAAACCCTGTCTGTAGCCCGCAAAGGTCCTTTGAGAATCCCTGGGGGGAGCTGGCATTCCTCCTCTGGCTTCAGGAGAGTGGGCAGGGCAATACGGCTGGTCACAGGCAGATAAAGAAAGAATATGTTCTCCATCCCTTTGAATTTCCCATTTCTCCCTCAGCCTTTTTCTGCACACAGAGCTTTTGAGCCATGGCAGAAATTTTCCAAGAGAAATATGGTTGAAGAGGGGCCTTGGCAGGAAAAGGCTGATGTCGCTTGAGAAATGTGTGCAGATTACACCAAGCTGTTATTAAAAATAAGTGCTGTGCTGTTTTCCAGCCTTTGCTTTCTGTGATTTTTTTTCTGGTAGCAATTGCACTTCTCCAGTAAAGGGTTCACATGTCCAGGGGATGGAATTTGTTTCCTCCTCATCTGCAAATGAGCTTGGTGCTAGCCCAGCATCCAAATGGCCTGGGGATACTGTGGTGGGGTTTGGGTGCCTGAGGATGTTCAGACTTCTCATCCATCTGAAATTCCAAATTATTTTCAGAAAAACCTTGAGCCTAGGGCTGCATGGGGAGGGTTGGGAGGTGGTGTGGCCCTCACACCTGCTCCATGCTCCAGCCATCCTTGGTTTTACAGCATCCAGCTTCACTCTTGGGCTGTGACTCAATCCCCACCATGATGGGGCATCTTTTAAACAGCCCTGGCAACTCTGTCTTGGGTTTTGGTCTGACTTTGGGTCTTTTAATGTCTGGTTGAGGACTTTCCACAGTTAA